GGCATTACGTAAGTATTACGGGCAACTTTGACATTCTGCACGATAAACATTTGCTCATGGGCAGTGGCACTCATCGGAGCGTCTTCGTGAGCTATTGTTATGGACTTTGCAGAGGTGTCGAAGAATTGTACAGGGGAAACGCAACACGGACTAAATTACTGATTATGAACTCTACAGCCCCCCCGCACGCAATATTCACTCCCGGGCACCACTAGAGAGCCTTCATAGGGATACTATTAAGGGTTACAAGAGAAGCATATTGAGAAACGTCCAATTTTTCTCTACCAATCACCGAGACAGCTACTTGTAGCAACTACAACAGCTGGGCACCACTGAGGTGCCTACCTTACTGCGAGTGCGTGCATGGTCGCTAGTCTCCAGTGATGGGAGAAACTACTTCGATTCCTCACGCTCGTCCTCTTTCGACCGCTTGTGCTGCAATTCTTTCGCCGCGTGGCTCTCATACTCCTCCACCAATAAAATAGCATTGTTGTTAGGCGAGTACTTTCGCACTATCTCCTCACATCTGGTACCTCGGAAGAACTTGTTCAGCGCCGGGTAGATGCGAAGTGCTAACTTAGCACTGTTAAGCCAGCCTGCCTCTTTCCTCGATAATTTCGATGTTCGCGAGGGGCATCTTTCTCCAGTGACCAGTATTTGCTCAGACTACCGAAGAGCATATCGGTTCGCATGCAACAGGCCACGTAGGGATCAGGATGCGTGTATGAAAGCCACGACATCTCGCATGGGCACCACTGGGGTGCCTGCAATACAGCACTGCATTGCAGATGAGTGATCCATGTTGATCCAAATAAGTGATCTCGGATCACTCAGTACGAGTGATTCCGCCCACTTACAATAATCCATCCATCATTCTCCCTGTGCTGCAACTATACTTATCTATATCGACAGAACCACAGAACTTTGCTAAAGAGTCACCACTCAGAGAGTTCGAAACTATAATGCAATTCTCAACACAATCACCAACAACCCACCAAGGTTCGACTCTCGCGTGCAAATTTCAATTTCTTCTTCCGATTGTAGAACAGCAAAAATTTGCTCCATTGTGGGGTTGCCCATTCGTGAAGCGGCAAATTGCTCCTCTGAAAAGTAGCAATTTGCTCAATAGCAGAAGGGGCAATTTATTGGTTTGCCCCTTTTTTGAGCAATATTGCTCAATTTTGGTACATAGTAGCACTTCACATAGCAGCAACTTTTATACATTGTAGCAAATTTCTGAAATATAAACAAGCAAACGATATTCATTCGAGCAGTTTCTGTTATACAAAACGGCAAATTTGCGTATTTGTAAAGTGAATTTTGCTACTTTGCTCCTTCGTATATCAGCCATAGCGTTTTTACACACTAGCACAACAGCAAAAGCCGCAGAAAATATACATTCCAGCTAATTGGCACTTTTTTGCTATTTGCTCCTTTGCTATTTTGTATATGAGCCAGACCACCGAGGCTCCGGTCGAGACCACCGAGGCACCGGTCGAGACCACCGAGGCACCGGTCGAGACCACCGAGGCACCGGTCGAGACCACCGAGGCACCGGTCGAGACCACTGAGGCTCCGTTCGAGACCACTGAGGTTCCGGTCGAGACCACTGAAGCTCCTGTAGACACCACTGACGCACCGGTCGAGACCACTGCCGCTCCGGTCGAGACCACTGCGGCTCCGGTCGAGACCACTGCGGCTCCTGTAGACACCACTGACGCACCGGTCGAGACCACTGCCGCTCCGGTCGAGACCACTGAGACCTCGGTCGAGACCACTGAAGCTCCAGTCGAAACCACCGAGGCTCCGGTCGAGACCACCGAGGCTCCGGTCGAGACCACCGAGGCTCCGGTCGAGGCCACTGAGGCTGTGGTCGAGACCACTGAGGCTCCGGTCGAGACCACTGAAGCTCCTGTAGCAACCACTGAAGCTCCTGTAGCAATCACTGATGCACCGGTCAAGACCACTGAAGCTCCTGTGGAAACCACTGGGGGACCAGTTGAGACCTTTGAGGCTCCGATTGAGACCACTGCGGCTCCGGTCGAGACCACTGAGGCTCCGGTCGAGACCACTGAGGTTCCGGTCCAGACCACTGAGGCTCTGGTCGAGACAACTGAAGCTCCGGCCGAGGTTACTGAGGCTTTGGTCGAGACCACCGAGGGACCAGTTGAGACCACTGCGGCTCCGGTCGAAACCAACGAAGCACCGGTCGAGACCACTGAAGCTCCGGTCGAGGTCACTGAGGCTCCGGTCGAGACCAACGAAGCACCGGTCGAGACCACTGAAGCTCCGGTCGAGGTCACTGAAGCTTCGGCGGAGACCACTGCCGCTCCGGTCGAGACCACTGCGGCTCCGGTCGAGACCACTGCGGCTCCTGTAGACACCACTGACGCACCGGTCGAGACCACTGCCGCTCCGGTCGAGACCACTGAGACCTCGGTCGAGACCACTGAAGCTCCAGTCGAAACCACCGAGGCTCCGGTCGAGACCACCGAGGCTCCGGTCGAGACCACCGAGGCTCCGGTCGAGGCCACTGAGGCTGTGGTCGAGACCACTGAGGCTCCGGTTGAGACCACTGAAGCTCCTGTAGCAACCACTGAAGCTCCTGTAGCAATCACTGATGCACCGGTCAAGACCACTGAAGCTCCTGTGGAAACCACTGGGGGACCAGTTGAGACCTTTGAGGCTCCGGTTGAGACCACTGCGGCTCCGGTCGAGTCCACTGAGGCACCAGTCGAGACCACTGAGACCTCGGTTGAGACCACTGAAGCTCCGGTTGAGACCACTGAGGCTCCGGTCGAGATCACTGAAGCACCGGTCGAGACCACTGAGGTTCCGGTCCAGACCACTGAGGCTCCGGTCGAGACAACTGAAGCTCCGGTCGAGGTTACTGAGGCTTTGGTCGAGACCACCGAGGGACCAGTTGAGACCACTGCGGCTCCGGTCGAAACCAACGAAGCACCGGTCGAGACCACTGAAGCTCCGGTCGAGGTCACTGAGGCTCCGGTCGAGACCAACGAAGCACCGGTCGAGACCACTGAAGCTCCGGTCGAGGTCACTGAAGCTTCGGCGGAGACCACTGCCGCTCCGGTCGAGACCACTGCGGCTCCGGTCGAGACCACTGCGGCTCCTGTAGACACCACTGACGCACCGGTCGAGACCACTGCCGCTCCGGTCGAGGCCACTGAGGTTCCGGTCCAGACCACTGAGGCTCCGATCGAGACAACTGAAACTCCGGCCGAGGTTACTGAGGCTTTGGTCGAGACCACCGAGGGACCAGTTGAGACCACTGCGGCTCCGGTCGAGACCACTGAGGCTCCGGTCGAGACCACTGAGGCTCCGGTCGAGACCACTGAGGCTCCGGTCGATACCACTGGGGCTCCGGTCGAGACCACTGAAGCTCCTGTAGAAACCACTGACGCACCAGTCGAGACCACTGCCGCTCCGGTCGAGGCCACTGAGGCTGCCGGAGAGACCGCTGAGGTTCCGATCTAGTACTAAACAGGCTCCTGAGTGCACTCCATAGGAGCTGCTCTGACAACGTCTGTTACATTACATTCCCCACATGCTGACTTTCGTATTCGCGCTCCATGCGCTTGACCCTTCCAAGTAAGAGGATCAATGCTTTATTTTTGCTTCAGAATGCGTGACAACCGATCATCGGTGAGATTAAACTGTGTGACTGTTCGGCTGGTGTTTTGTTCCTATAGTTAACTGAGAGATTTATCGGCTGTGTGGATACGTAGATTGTTGGGTGCTTAACGAGACAGTTCCATTTAAGCGGTAACATCACGAGGCCGCGATCGGAGCGCCAGCAGAAGTCAATATCCCATAGCCTGGTAGAAGGGCTTGAGCTGTTGAATAAAATAGCCACGGCAATATCTTAATAAATGGTTGGTGCTTGCGTACAACTGACGCTCATGCAATTCATTTTTTTCGCTCAAAAAGAGTTAGAGCCCTGTCGAATGATCAACCGTGGGATAATACTGTCAAATCTCCATATTCAATGGCTGCGTTCCCGCATACGTGTCCATTCATGAGTAACGGAGCTCACAATCATCGAACTGACAGTATGGAGAGCCCTGCGTGCATTGAGAGCGAAATCAAAGTTGTGAGAAATGAATTCATCGAGTTCGTTTCTAACTTCGAGACGAAATGGAAGAGACGAGTGTCAGATGTGTGTTCTATAGAGCGAATGCTTATTTAACAGAAATCGAGGTTCGAATCGTCTCGAAAAATACCTCGAAATTTTTTCTGCGGTCGTAGAAGAATCTCTCACACGTCCTGGATTGTACAGAAATGAGTATGCAGGATATCACCAGGCGCGTGTCAGGCGTCTCGCGACCCCACCCAGTCTGCCATACAGTCACTGTGGGATTGTGGGTTATTGGTTGAGGCTTCTTCCCTGACGGAAGGCTACTTAACCTAGGTATGGCAGCGCTGAATCGACCGCTGTGACCATGCAATTGCTCGGATCAGCTGCGACCCGTGACGACCCGAGGTAGACTGTTGAAGGCCGCGAGCGCCCAAGGATGCATATGCGTGTTGGTGAGAAAGTGAAACGGTTAGATACAACATCTGCGCTATTCCAGTTATGATGGGGTAAGTCGTAATTCGATCCTTAGTTCATCAGGTTGATAAACCTCAATTTCTCTAATGATCCTCCGTCTATTGACCCTCTCACTAACTGCCACCTCTTCCCTAGCGTTTGGTGGTAAGTCCGATGAGACTACAGCGGCTCCTACTCCTGACGTGGCGACTACCCCTGACGAGTACTGTGAGGATTATTGCTCTGAGACTTCGGGATGTGGACAGTCCTATTGCAAGGCGGATGGTCACTGCTTTGGACTATATCACAATGGTGACTCGAAGTGTTATCAGTCCGATGACGAGGAAAATACTTGCGACTCGTTCGAGCCCGTGAGATGCCTCGAATCCCCGCCGTCGACCTGTGATGATGCTTGTTCCTCCGTTGATAGTTGTAGGACCTCTGAACTTGGAACCTACTGCAAGTTTTGGTTGGATGATCCAGTGTGTTATGGCATCCTCAAGAAGAATGACGGCAGTTTGTGCTTTGTCGCAACTGATGAGGCATGCGAGGGTGATCCTTACCCCTGCGGTTCCCAAACTGAGGCTCCAGTCGAGACCACTGAAGCTCCGCTCGAGACCACTGAAGCTCCTGTAGAGATCACTCAGGCTCCGGTCGAGACCACTGAATCTCCGGTCGAGACCACTGAGGGTCCAGTCGAGACCACTGAAGCTCCGGTCGAGACCACTGAAGCTCCGGTCGAGACCATTGAAGCTCCGGTCGAGACCACTAAGGCTGCGTTCAAGACCACTGAGGCCCCGGTCGAGACCACTGAGGCTCCGGCCGATACGACTGAATCTCCGGTCGAGACCACTAAAGCTCCAATCGAGGCCACTGAAGCTCCGGTCGAGACCACTGAATCTCCGGTCGAGACCACTGAATCTCCGGTCGAGACCACTGAATCTCCGGTCGAGACCACTGAATCTCCGGTCGAGACCACCGAGGGTCCTGTAGAGACCACTGAAGCTCCTTTAGCAACCACTGAATCTCCGGTCGAGACCACTGAAGCTCCTGTAGACACCACTGAAGCTCCAGCCGAGACTAGTGAGGCTCCGGTCGAGACCACTGAGCCTTTGGTCGAGACCACTGAATCTCCGGTCGAGACCGCTGAGGGTCCAGTAGAGACCACTGAAGCTCCTGTAGAGACCACTGAAGCTCCTGTAGAGACCACTGAAGCTCCTGTAGCAACCACTGATGCACCGGTCGAGACCACTGAAGCTCCGGTCGAGACCACTGAAGCTCCTGTAGAGACCACTGAAGCTCCTGTAGCAACCACTGAAGCTCCTGTAGCAACCACTGATGCACCGGTCGAGACCACTGAAGCTCCGGTCGAGACCACTGAGCCTTCGGTCGAGACCACTGAGGGTCCAGGCGAGACCACTGAGCCTTCGGTCGAGACCACTGAAGCTCCTGTAGCAACCACTGAGTCTCCGGTCGAGACCACTGAAGCTCCTGTAGAGATCACTGAAGCTCCAGCCGAGACCACTGAAGCTCCAGCCGAGACTAGTGAGGCTCCGGTCGAGACCACTGAGCCTTCGGTCGAGACCACTGAAGCTCCTGTAGAGACCACGGAGGTTCCGATTTAGTACTATAGTGTCCCCGGACTGCGTGCGGTAGCAATCTGCTTTCACAACGTCTTTGCATTTTGAACTCTTTTGTATCCTCATTTCGTTCGCTTGGCCCTTCTAAGTAAGAGGATCAATGCTTGATTTTTGCTTCAGAATGCGTGACAACCGATCATCGGTGTATATTAAACTGCGTGACTGTTCTAAAGGAATTTCGTTTTATAGTTGAATTGATGGGCGGTCGACAGTGTAGAAGCAGAGACTGTTGGGTGCTTTCAATAGAGCCACCATAGGTATGAGAGTACCATCCAGCCAGTAGAGCTGAAAATGTTATGCAAACTGAGACTTTCAATCTTAGATTATGCGGTCACCTCCTGTTTCGTGAGTAATCTCCAATTGCCAAACACCGGCTTGAAAACCGCTCATACTCGGGTACTTTTATACTTCTTTAGCGCATTCTCAGCTGCTCTTTCGCAGTAGTTTTTCGAACCGACTCTTCACATTCCTCGGTGCTTGTGGTATGACGTTTCCGGGTCGATGACAGATCATCAAATGATATTCCTAGTCATTGAACAAACAACTGCATTTATTTGACACCCTTCTCATCAAGCTAGATATCCTTCACATATGCGCTCGTCACAGTCATTTGATAGTTATAGATCTCGAATGGTGCCCCAAACTCGAGCCTGAAGTTAGTCCCCGGTTCGATCCCCGGGTTGAACATTTTTCCGTCAAAAATTGTATTCGCGCATATTTCTTGAAGCTGTGGGCGTAGTCAAGTTTTTCGATTTTTCTGCTAACCTCCGGGCACAGAGGACTCGCTTGATTCATCTGATGCTCTCGGACAGTCGGCAGTTCAATCAAAATAATTCATCACGCACGCACGCACAACGCGAAAGTGCCTGTTGTTGCGGTATATGCTTCGCTCGCTTCGCAATTACATCGACTGCGACTGAGGTACTTACAGGCACAGTTATTCGACTATGAAGTCGTACGTCACCTCACCCTAGAGCAAAGTCCGGTACTCGGTTCAAACGTTTCCTATCACAAGTGGTTTCGTGTAACCCCAACAAGAGGAGGGCGAACTTCGTCATTCGCAGATTTTTAAATCATACGAACACGCGAGGAAGAATGCATATAGCTATCCTCGTGTCTCCACTTTTGTACCAATCCACTTTTGAACCAAACGTTTTTCGTTGTGTAAAAAAACCCGAACTCGTGATAAACTTACACACCGACGATTGTGTTGTACTAAATTTTATACTGGGGAATTTGTCCACTTCTGTACCAAATGGGCGAGCGCTTAACAACTATACCACTCGACACCGAACCTTCCTGACTTTGTAACACGAGGGGGTGTTTATCACCACCTTATCGTACTTGCACCTGACTCGTCTGGCTGTGGTTATCCGTCCGAAGCCACACTACTTAGTTTTACGGGATCTCCAGCTTTTCGTACACACTCGTGGGGTTGTTCGTGCGATAATTGTGGAGCCCTTTGACTGAACAGCATGTTGGTCACGGCACAATGGTGTGTCGGTTAGGCATGTGAGGTTAGTAACGCGAGGTTGTGGGATCGATCCCGGTAGAATACTATTTTGTACGAACTAACTTCGGACTCGGGACTCCATTTCTTCGTATCGCGTTTTGTATCTTACATTTAATACTCATCCCCTTAAAGCACTTCGGCTCAACTCAACCCCACTATTTTTATATTTAAAAACATGCACAATACTCCAAGATAAAAAAAACCCACTTAAATTACT